GACGATGCCCCTAAGGGACCCCAAGAAACCCCAAGATGCCCCCCCGAGAAGCACCCAAGAGGTGCCCCCAACAGCCAATTGAGGAAGCACGGAGAACCCCCCAGAAGCCCTTCAGATGCCCCCACGAAGACCCAAGGGGTTCCCAAGAGGCCCTCAGGAGGCACGACTATGTCACGCGCCTGTGCTTGATAGCGCTGTCCAAAATCTTCTAGCGCGCCCCCGGCCTGGGCTAGAACCTGAGCGCGCGCGAAGCGCGCGATGTTTCTAGTATAGACCATATATATATATATATATATATATATATACATATACATATACATACATACATATAGATCTACTGGGCTATAGGGCTACATGGCTATAGGGCTATAGTGCTATAGAGCTATAAAGCTATAGGGCTATAGGGCTATGGGGCTATAAGGCTGCAGGGCTATCGGGGTATAGGGCTATGAAAGAGCGTGTTCTGTGGTCGCTTGGAGGAAGGGGGGGGTGAAACCGGAAAAAGGGGGGTTCGAACCCCCCCACCCACCCACCCGTGACGGAGGGGGGGGGGGGTTCGACCCCCCCCCCCCCCCCTTCCTCCCCTGCTTCCCCTCTCCTCGGGCTGGCGCTTGCGTCGGCGGCGGCTGGCGGCGGCGACGGGGACGACAATTTCCTTTTTCTGGGCCAGCGCCGGCGCCTGCGGCGGCTGGCGGGCGGCGGCGGCGGGGAGCGTCAACGAGGACGACGATGGTGGTGGTGGTGGGTTATGGTGGTGGTGGCGGTGGTGGTGGTTGTGGTGGTGGTGTGGTGGTTTGTTGTGGTGGTGGTGGTTGTGGTGGTGGTGGGTGGTGGTGGTGGTTTGGTGGTGGTGTGGTGGTGGTTTGCGGTGGTGGTGGTGGTGGTGGGTTGTGGTGGTGGTGGTTTGGTGGTGGTGCGGTGGTGGTTTGTGGTGGTGGTGGTGGTGGGTTGTAGTGGTGGCGGTGGCTTGTGGAGGTGGTGCTGGTGGTGGTGGTGGCGGTGATGGTGGTGTGGTGGTTTGTGGTGGTGGCGGTGGGTTGTGCTGTTAATAGTGTTGGTGGTTGTGGCGGTGGTGGTGGTGGTGTGGTAGATTGTGGTGATGGTGGTAGTGGTGGTGGGTTTTTTGTGGTGGTGGTGGTGATGGTGAGTTGTGGTGGTGGTGGTGGTTGTGGTGGTGTGGTGGTGGTGTGGTGGTGGTTTGTGGTGGTGGTGGGTTGTGGTGGTGGCGGTGGATTGTGGAGGTGGTGCTGGTGGTGGTGGTGGTGGCGGTGGTGGTGTGGTGGTTTGTGGTGGTTTGTGGTGGTGGCGGTGGGTTGTGCTGTTAGTAGTGTTGGTGGTTGTGGCGGTGGTGGTGGTGGTGGTGTGGTAGATTTTGGTGGTGGTGGTAGTGGTGGTGGGCTTTCGTGGTGGTGGTGTTGGTGGTGATGGTGAGTTGTGGAAGTGGTTGTGGTGGTGGTGGCTGTGGTGGTGGTGGTGGTGGAGGTGGCTGTGTGGTGGGTTGGTGGTGGTGGTGGTGGTGGTAAGTTGAGGCGGTGGTGGTGGCAGTGGTGGCGGTGGTGGTAGTGGTGGTATTGGTGGTAGTGGTCGCTGCGTCCCCGCCGTCGCCGGCGCCAGCGCCGGCGCTGCTGGCCGCCGCCAGCGCTGGCGCCGGCGCCAGGGGGGGGGGATGTTGAACCCCCCCTTGGCGCCCGGGGGAGAGGGGTTGAACCCCCACCCCCCTTGGGCTGCCTCTTGTCATCCTTGCTGCGTCCCCGCCGTCGGCGTTGCTGGCGGCCGCCAGCGCCGGCGCTGGCGCCAGGGGGAAGGGGGAGGGGGGGGTGGAATCCCCCCCGCTCTTGGGAGGGGGGGGGTTCGGGAGGGGGGGGGGTTGGGGGGGAGGGGAGTCTCCCTCGTTTTGATCGACGGCGCCGAGTGTTCGGGGGGGGGCCATCCCACGGTTCGAAACGCGCCGCCGAATGTTCCCAAGGCAAGCGCCCGTGAAACGCGTTCTCTCGGCTATAAGGCTATAGGGCTATGAGGCTATGAAGTTATAAGGCTATAAGGCTATAGGGCTTCCGGGCTATAAGGCTAGGTCCATCGAGGTATAGGGCTATAAAGCTATAGGGCTATGGGGCTATAGGGTTATTGGGCTATAGGAATATGGGGCTGCATGGCTTTAGCGCTTTAGGACTATAGGGCTACGGGGTGCTATAAGGATATAGGGCTATAGGGCTATAGGGTTGCAGGGCTATAAGGCTATAAAGCTATAAGGCTATAGGGCCAGAGGGCTATAGGGCTATTGGGCTAGACTATAGGGCTACAGGGCTACAGGGCTATAGGGCAATAGGACTATAGGTCTAGAAGGCTATAAGGCTATGGGGCTATAGGGCTACAGGGCTACCGGGCACCTGGGCATGCCGCCGAAATCGGCGCCACACCTCACCTAAACATACGAATCCGCTAAGATCCCTACGCCCTACAGAGGCATGCTCTGATTGGGAAATTACCACTCCCATCAGGCTAGAGCTTTCGAAGCGGCCTCGGGGAAACGCGTCGAGATTCGAAGGCAACGCAACGCGGGACACTGAGTCCTCGATGCAAACGTCGCCCAAATACAGCCCCCTCGAAGCTAGACTACCTTTGTTGGAAGCAAATCCCAAAGCTGGACGTACTTGGTGGGTCCGCATCGAGCCCACTGAGGGGGGCCTAGGAGCCTCCACCGATGTATCCAGCAAAACGACAGTTCGGGGCTCCACTATGGAAACACAATCAGACATATCTAGAGTACCTCCGCCTGGAAGTCTAGGTGGGTTGTCGGGGTTTCTCAGCGCTGGGGTCTAGGTCGCAGTCTGGCGCCATGGTCGCACCTGCCTAACAACCCGCGGCACCAAGCACCATCAACGCCACTGGGGAAACACCATCTGGGACTAGGATATGGGGGTGGTAGATGTTCAACATGAACTAGGGAAAGTACGCGTAAGATTCCCCCGCCCCATCTCCAGCTGGTTTCAAAGTTCACGCCCACAAGCACAAGCACAAGGGGCCAGGGAACAACTGTCCTCGAAGCACCTCTCCGAACCACCGTCCAAAATTTAAATCAAATACCGCTCGAACAACCCCGCTCCCCTCGGCTCCCACTCGAACACGGTTTACGTCGTCCTGGAGCACTCCCTCGAAACAGTGACAGCGGAGCCACGAAAAGGAGCTGTGAATCATAGTAGCCCCTGCCCTGTGGAAAGCACAGGGCCCCCCCTCAGGAACAGCAGCACGTGCGGCCTACGCCCCGGTTAGATCGTGCAGCGTGAGGGTGAGAGGGAGAGAATATGCCCAAGCCCTGGCATACATGTTGCACTTTGCTACTAGTTGAAACATCCGGGGCCCCAAACAGGCGCCTGACAGGACTCCAAGAAATCCTGGAGAAGGCTCAAGAGGGATCTGCGTAAGTTCAGACCGGGCGCTCGCTGCAAGAGAAGGGACTCAAACTCAAGCTCATCCTCCTTCTCTAACTGCATCAGCGGGTCAGAACTTCACCATGCTCCTTCTGAAGCCGACATGAACCGATGCCATCTGTTTTATCATATGTTGCCTCGTTTCGTTGTCTAGCGGAAGGGGAAGCAGGCAATATATGGAGGAAGGGGCACGGAGGTTGAGTTAAAAACCCGCGTCAGTTCAGACCTTGGGAGACGAGGGTGTGGAAGGAGGCGGAGTTATACAGCAGGTACAATCGATAACATATCTTGCTGCAAGCAATAGATGGGCACATTATTCGTTGATCCCTGGACTTCCTAAGGTGTCCCAAGGCGTCTGTGGGTCCCTGGGGCCATCGTGGGATAAGACATGTCACCGGAGGCGGGGCCAGGACTCAACCTTCTTCTTCTCATGGTTCTCTTCATGTCGCTACCCATCACATGCCAGAAAGGAAACGGAGGGGGAGGTGGCGGTGTATACCTGTGCCAACTCTTGCCTTTTGCGATATCAGACAGGACGCTGATCTGGAACGGGTATTCACCTAAAATTAATCCTCTTCATTTTCCTTTTATCCCTGCCTCCACTCATCGGTGCTATCCTTCTCATCCTCGTCTGCGCGTTTCGTCTTCTCGCGGGGCAAAGGTGGCTACACAGTCCGGGTAGCCCAGACAGGAGGGAAGGGCGTCTCCTGACGACTCCCAAGCAGGCGCCCGCAAGGTACCCAACGAGGCTTCAAAAAAAACCGCACGAAGCCCGCAAGAAACCCCAGCGGAAAATCCAAGAAATATCCAATGTGCCCTCGAATAAAAACGAAGAGAGGGTGAGCAAGGGATAAGAGAACCAAGCCGTAGCCAACGATGGGAGTGTCCAAGACCCGAACTGCTTCAAACAAGGTACTGCACTGGAGCGGGTCGAAATTCCGTCCGCCTTCCTACTGCATTGCTGCGCTTACACGGTGGCGGGCATTGCCGCAGGCAACTAGAGCATGCACCTAATTGGCTGATAGTCCAATGGCCGCAGTCCGCTCGTAGTCTGACCGTGGGTCCTCCCAATGTTCTGGCTTGACATTATCTCGAGACATACGCACCCAATCGTGTCGAAGCCGTGATCCTCTGAAAACCAGACCAATACCACCACGCCCAAAAGCCCTGAAGAGCTTCCGCAAGGACACGGTATGACAGGGCACAAATCGCGCCACAAGTTGCGACATGGGTTGAACTGAACCTGAAGTGCGGCTGAATCGCAAGTTGGTCCGCTCTGCCCCCCTATCCGATCGGCTGCGCCAAAGGACTTGCCTGCCACCCTAGGCCCTTGGCCACATAATCACGAGTTGGTCCGCTCTGTCAACCTGCGCCATACGTTGCGCCAAACACCCTGGGCCACAGAATCAAGAGCTGGTCCACACTTCCCGCTGCTAGCGATGGGCAGGGCCCTTGCATGATCCCCTGATGCGAGAAAAGAGCATGTATCGTACTTGTTTGTGCGGGTTCTCTCCCTGTCCCTTTCTCAACCCCAGACGGAGGCAACGGGGGAGCGGCTGGCAGAGCCGCTGCCTCGCAAAGCTCCCGCAGCTCTCGGAAGCTCCTCGCGAGCGCGTCCACTGACGCCACGGCCTCGCGTGCTCTCGAAGGCTGTCCTCTCCTCTAGAGCGCGTTTCAATATGTTCGGCGATGACTGGCGTGATGGGGTGGGGGGGGCGAAGGGGGGTATGACGTAACGCCCCCCCCGCCGTGTGGCTCTGGCACCGCAGCCGCACCCGCGCGCGCGACGCGACGAGCGACGAGCGACGAGCGACGAGCGACGAGGACGACGACGACGCGAGCAGCATGTAGGTGGCAATATGCCCACTGCTCCTGTGTACACCACAGCGCTCGGGTGCACCACAGCGCGCGTGTATACCACAGCGCCTGCGTACACCGCAACAACCGTGTGCAACGCAGCGCCTGTGTACACCACAGCGCTTGCGTACACTACAGCGCTGGTGTACATGTGTACACCACAGCTACCATGTGCAACGCAGCGCATGTGTACACCACGATGCTTGCGTGCACCGCAGCGCCTGTGCACGCCACAGCGCGCGTCTACACCACAGCATCCGCGTGCAACGCAGCGACGGTGTACACCACAACGCCTGCGCGCATAAGACAGGTAGAAGGAGCATGTGTGTGAGGATCTGCTGCGGACAACTAGACGCCACGCCAGGAAAATGTTGATAATCGAATGCGGCGTTTTTCCCTCATCCGTCCTCATCCTCCTCCTCCTCCTCCTTACCCCCTGTCGTGCGGGTTGGCGCTACAGCGCACGTGCGCATCTCAGCGCGCACCGCAGAATGATCGATTGAATCGGTCCACTTGGTACCCAGACGGCAAATTTAGCTGGAGCCTCCTGGACGCAGATGGGCGGAATTAGGGTGATGCGGGCGGAGTCGGGAAGACTCGTAGATTCCAGCGGCGCTCCGTTGCCCATGAGGAATATGTTCAACTGTTTTTTTTGCGGAATCCATAGGCGCTACATTTTGTCATAAGGAATCGTTCTAACATTCTATACTATATACAACAGTGGTGATCTGTTGCACGCGATTGCTTGTGGTGCACACAAGCGCCGTGGTGCACACAGGCACTGCAATACACGCGCGCATTGTGGTGTACACTGGTGTTGTGTTGTGCACGGCTGATGTGGTGTACGCAAACGCTGTGGTGTGCACACATACTGTTGTGCCCGCAGGCACGGTGGCTCAAACTGACGCTGTGTTGCACGCGGCTGCTGTGGTGTACATAGGCGGTGTGGTGTACACAGGCGCTGTGGTGCACGCAGGCACTGTGGTGTACCCAAGCGTTGTGGTGCAAATCGCCACCCACATGCTGGCGCTACCCGTCCTCCGTCATTCCTAAGCATTCCTAAACGCCGCTGGCGCGAAACGTGACGTCATCAACCCCCTCCACCCCCCTAGATGATTGCCGTCATCGGCCCGGAATAAAAAACAGGTTTCAACCGAATCCGCGCGCACGATGACTATGAGGGACGAGCGACAAGCCACGAACGAAGACGACGATGACGACGACGACAACGACGACGACGACGATGACGACGACGACGACGACTGCGGACCAGACCTCTATGCGGATTCCTACGCGGAGACCTACGCGGATCCCAGTGCGCACGGCGGCAGTGCCCGGAGCGCACTGGGTGGGGGGGGGTGTCACGTCATAGGGGGGGCGGGGAGGAGCGGGGGCCATGACGCCCGTCATGCCCCGAGCAATGAAGAAACGGGCTCCTATCCTGCCCTTCCTCCTCATCCTCCTCCGAGTTTGACCTGGCCGTGTTGGGTTCGAGGCGAACCTCCATTTATCTCGGCCCAAGGTGCCAAGGGGGGCTGATGGCCGCGGGAAGGCCCTCGTTGCTGTGCACGCCACGTGGGGTCCAAAATTGTTCTCCTCGTGCGTCGGCAGGCTCCTCTGCCCGCGCCTCCCAGCGCTGGCTGAGGCGGTTGCGGCTACAGGAGTAGCTCCCGCACGGGAATCGAGGTGCCAGGATGTACCGGATGTGCATGCCTTCCTCCCCGGCCTGGGGATTCACGCCCGAATGGGCGGATCGGTCGGCTACCGCAGCCACCTCCTGGGCGGGACAAGATCCTGTGCCCACCCCCTCCTATCCACCCGGGAGGCCAACGAGGACAACACACGCCAAGCAAGAGCGCGACTGGCCTGCCCACTGTCCGTTCAAGTTTTCCAAGCCTGACGGCGTGGGTCAGTAAATGCCCTGTCTGGATGGCGCATTGTGCGCTGCCTGCCTGGAAGCCCCGCTGGAGGCGAAGGCCGCCGTCAACAAGTGCAAAACTCCCCAGCCCTTCAGGGCGTGAGTGATTTAATGAAATCCTTCTTCCAGCCCCCTCCCTCCCTGTCGGGGCCCCCCTCCCCCTCCCCCCGCCCTCGCGGATCTGGAGGGGCGCTTCGCGAGGCGTCGGAGCGTCGGAGATAGCCCCAAGTGGCCCCAGAAAAGGGCCCCAGAGAGCCCAAGAGGGCCTCCAAGATCGAACCAAATATCCTAAGACTGTTCAAGATAGCTTCCGACATGCCTCCAAGAGCCCTCGAGACCCCCCGAGGGCGGCTCCAAATGCCTTCCGAGCTCCACGAAGAAACCCAAGTGGCCAGAGTCCTTCAAAATCCAAATGCGTTCCCCATGTGCGTTGCCTTCTCGCTTTTTCGCTTCCGACGGGCTCGCGCGGCACCGACGCGGCTCCAAGATTGCCCGAGAGAGCCCGCAGAGGGGCCCACGCCTGCTCCAAGATCGCCCCAAGAGGCGGTCTTGACGGCCCCGAAAGGGGGCGCAACTATACGCCGCCCCTCTGTTTTCATCGATGGCCTCCACAGAAGATGGCCCTCAAGGGGCCCCAAGAGGACCCCCAGTCTGTCAGTCAGCGGCCATGCGCCAGCCTTTGGCACGGCGCTCGGGCAAAACATGCACTCACATATAAATAGATGCACGTGCCCTGCCGCGTGGCAGGCCGGCGACGCGCCGACAAGACACAGCGCGTAGCAAGGGGGGGGTAGCGGCAGGGTCAGGAAAGCAGGTGTGACCTGCTTCCTGTAAAATTGATTGCGCCAGCTTGTGCAGAGGGTGGCCGCGCATCCGGACCAAGCGCCGCCGTCTCGGCGCAGTGCCCTCCGGCTCGCGCACCAAGAGCCTTAAACAGTTGTCGCGCGGCAAACGCGTTTTTTTTTTCGCATGCTTGCGCGCGCCATTGGCGCAATGTCTGACTCAAGGGGACAGCTTGCGCAAACGATGAAGCTGTGGCGTTTGAAACTCTCGAATAATATGGGCGCTGGATCCTGAGACTGCGTCGGAGAGACGCTGTTAGAAAACCATTGAATATGTCAGGGTCTGCTTGCACTATGCATAAAGACTCCAAGTCGTATAAAAACTTGGGCACCACGATAGCGTCAAACAGGCAAATCCTCCGAGACATGCTGATACTGGCGCGGTTCCAGCACTGGTGCAGCAATCTGAATATGCCCCTCGCTTCCCCCAGCCGTCTTGTAACCTCCAGCTTGCTCTCTGTAGCGTTGTGCAAGAATGCCACCCCAATATACTGCTCGCTGAACATTTTAATTGGCTGCGTAGACGGGTCTCGCACCACCCCCTCGCTGTTTCTGTCATTTCGTGATATTCAAAAGAACATGTCGTTTCAACGGGTGCGTGCTCACGAACAGCGCGTCGTCAGCGTATAGTATGTCATCGCACACCACATAAACTGGTTCTTTGACATCCATGGACATGACGCGGTACATGTTGCCAACGTCGAAAAAAACATAAGAGCTTGCATGATAATGAAATATATGGACACAGAGGGCACCCTTGAGCTATACCTGCAAGTTGTTGCCTCATTGTAGAGTCCCCCACAAGATCTTTCAATCCAAACCGGCGCGTTCTGTATATTGAAACGATGAGTGATAGCAAGGGCTCCGGAATGCCAAATCTCCCCAATGCCTTGATCAGTGCGTCGTGCTTGACCCTGTCAAAAGCTTCGACCCAATCGAATATCACAGCGATCAAACCAAGCTCCTTCGTGCACTGGGCGGGTCTATCATGCGGCGGGCAGCTGAAATTGCATCATTGCATCAATAGTGCTTCGACCCGGTCTGAAACTGAACTGCGTTGGTCGTAATATGTCTTCTGCTCCTCCTCACTGCGATCGTTTTTCTTATCATCCAGGCCAGCACTTTGTAGCCCACCAGAAGAAGGGAGATTGGCCAGTAAGTTTCTGGTAAACGCGCGTCCCCTTTCTTGAACAGCAGCACCCCTGTTGCAACTCTTGAACAGCAGGACCCCCTGAGAGACCCCAAAGACTTTCAAACTGCCCCAAGAGGCCCCCATAGAGCTTCAATATGGTTCCACAATGCCCCAAAGAGGCTCCCCGAGCATGGCTGCCTGCTACTACACATACTTGATCAGTTCAATTTGCCTGGTGATTGCTTTAAAATGAGCTGGTGATGATACGCGAAACATCAAGGATTACATGCTCATTGAAACGGCTACGTCCCGTAGACACATATAGATGGGAACACGGCGTCGCAGCGATCGAAAACGAACGCACACACACACAAACACACACGCGCACATACACACACACAACATACACTGTGCTGCTTCGTCGGCGCGTGTTCTAATGCGGGCCACGCCGAGTTCAATTACTTCCTGGCCTTAACTTCCCGGGCAAACGCACACATCGCATAGAGATCGGACCACAGAAGCAGATCGAGACGATACCACCACCGCGTAGACGTTCTCGGTGGAGACAAGGGCAATACCACAATGCCACTGCGGTCAGGGAAGCGCCACCAGCGCTTGGGCCCTCCCCTCTCCTCCCCACGGTAACCGATTGGTGGTGGCCAGGCAAATGCAGGCAATTCCTCTCTCTCCCGTCTCACCCACGCCTAAGCTAAAGACTGTCCTAAAAATGCCCTTCGCCGCAGATCGATCGACCACTTGTATGACCATACCGAGTGAAGCGGCGCCCAGCGGAGGAGGACTGGAGTCGCCATTGGACCTGTGAAATCGAACCATGGGTCGGCGCGCATCATCGCATGTATCGAACCGAGGACGGCACCCCTGATTCCCCCCCTCCCCTTCCCTGCTTCCAATTGGGTGGCGGTCCTTGGCAATTGCTGACTGTCGGCGCCGCAATCTGCGCACCTCTACGTCTCCCCTGGCTCAACCCAGCTCCCCCCATGGGTCGAGCGGCCCTCGCCCTTGGTGGCAACGCTGCCTGCGGCCAACAAATCTACTTCGCCCGTCCTCTACTCCCCCCCTCGCCTGGCCCTCTCGGCTCGCCTCCCCCCCTCCTCCGTTCTCCGCAATCCCCCCTTCCCCAGAACTGAGGCGCACCCCTCCCCCTCGTCGCACAGCAACAGCACAAACGCAGTGCCCACCCCCCTGCCGGTGACGTCGCCTGTGGCCAGCACGCCTCCCCGATTGCCGCCCAGGAGCAGGGCCGGTCGCTGTCGCTGCCCGGGCGTATAGCCCGCAGCGGCAACGAGGCGCCCGACTCGCTCGTGCCGACGGCGGCGCCGAGGTATTCGACTTCCTGGGGGGCAGACGGGGGGGGGCGGGGGGGGAAAAGGGGAGGACAATAGGCACGTAACAAACCAAGGTCTCGCGCCCTGGGGCATCCAAGGCACACGTGCAGAATACCTTGTCTGCCCCGCCCTGATTGAGAAACCCGTTTTGGGCACAACGACGAGCGCTGTTGCTTGAAATGCTTGGACTGGTTGCTTCTCCTGCTGCTACATGGCTGCTGTTTACGGCTGCCTGCTGCTGCCTAGTACTGCTCGCTGCTGCGCTGCTGCTTCCTACTGCCATTTGGGCATTCGTTCTCGTCTGATGGGGTCTATCTTGACATATTTCGCGCGCTTGAACCAGCCTCTTGGGCCCAACTCGCGCGGTTCCTCCGTCGGCCTCCGCCAGGCAGGAGGTGAGCCACGGAGTCGGCATCTTCTCCTAGAACAGACCATGTGACGTGAAGCTGCCCTGCCATTTGGTCGACAAGGTGTACGGGGCATGCTGCAGCAATTCAAATCAAACCGAGAGCAGTCATCGTGAAGCTTCACAGTCAAATTCCAAACCGATCATCACAGGCACAACCGTCGTCGCCCTCTGGTCATTCGCCCGTCCTGGCCGCACTTGATGTCGGGCGGCGCTATCAACCACTCCACCTCCGCCTCACAGTGTCAAGGGCGCGACACAAATCGAGCTAGAGGTGCCACCCGACGGATGCTTCTCAAGTTTTCTGATTGCTGCATACTGAAAGCAGGGCAGAGGCAACGCGGCGGGGGAAAGGAAAGCATCTTTTCGACAGATAGGAATACGCCAGACCCCCCCCACACACCTTAGACGAATGGGCTGCTTTGGCGACTTGCGCCGAATTCACAGGCATGACACGAGCTCGTCCGACCCAACAACAATGCCTGAAGTATTATGAAAATTGTATGGTCGATATATCGCTGTAATCAAAAGACTACCTGGGGCGCCCAGACAGAGACCCATACTTGTCCTTTGAAAGGGGGCTTCGAGTGTCTATCCGCACAATCGCATATAGCAACTAACAACCGCCCCAGGAGAGACCAACTGGCCACAGCAAGATCCGAGCCTCCCCTGGTACAACTTCGAGAGTTCGCCACCCACACCGGTGCATTCAACACCCTACCTTGCCAAACAATCAGCCCACCTTTCCTCAATGAAGACTCCCGAGGCACATACTGTTCAAGGAAGCCCTCGGGCGCTTTGAGCAACTGGCACTAACACAGCTCGGACGAACACGCAACCTGTCATACTGCCAAAGGAGATCTTCTCACATATCGACATGGCCAGCTTGCACGTCGGCTAACTCGTGGGTCCACAATGGGCACTCACAGGCAAATGCCCGCCAGCTTCGTGGTAACAAACTTGGCACATGCTAGGTGCTAGAAAATATGCACTGCCACATAAAAATGTCCTGTTTGACTTGCTGCTTTGATGTCCTACAAGCGGGCCAACGGTACCCCGCTATAGCTTGTCATGGCCCCTCGGCTGGCAAAACCCTCGTCCACACCTTCTGGACTTCGACCCGGTATGAATCGTGCCAGGCGCATCACTGAAAATAATTGCCGCTCGCATGGAAGAAATCATCAAGCTCAAAACCTCTCCAAACATAGATAATATGTGTGTTGACCCTGACTGAGACTGGAAGAGGTGGCAGTCATCGCGGCATGCCGACGCGGAATTTCTAGTATAATCCGAACCAGGCAACCCGAAATTCGAAATTCCTCTGACGTATGACCGCTTGTACACATTACGGGGATCACCAAGCAAGTGTGGGCCTTCGCCAGTTTGCACATTTTCTACACGCTGCAATACTAGACATAGCGTGTCCTAGCGTGCTCTAGCTCCCAAGACGTGACATGCGTGTACCTGCGTGCCCACAGCCTGCCGTGCAAGCTTGATAATAGCATCAACCACCCACCCAACATAACTGACATTGTACGCGAAAAATCTGTTGTCCCCACCACAACGTCTTGAGGATTTGACAAGGTCTGTCCGTGATGCCAGCTTTTAACCCCCTGCCAGAAAAACACGTAGCAACGTTTCGGGCAACTTCAATGGAGTGAAATACTCGCACATCGGACATGGAATACATTCCTCACACAGTTCTGCACTTTGTGGTTCTTACTTCTCTCCCTGAGGAACTGGTTTTGGTCCGGCGAGGTTTCGCCACGTTGCTCTCGTAGCCGCCTCGTTGCCGCCTCGTGCGTTGTGTGGGGCCCGGCGAGGTTTCGCTACATTGCCGCCCGTTGCCGCCTTTCCAGCCGTTGCCGACTCGTTGCCGCCTCGTGCGCTGCATGGGTCCGGCGAGGCCTCGCCTCGTTGCCGCCCGTTGCCACCTTGATGCGGCCTCGTGCGCTTAGGTATGTCCAGCGAGGTTCCGCCACGTTGCAGTCCGTTGCCACCTCGTTGCCACAGCGTTGCCGCGTCATGCGCTGTTTGTGTCTGGCGAGGTTTCGCCGCGTCGCCGCCCGTTGCCACCCTTTGCCACCTCGTGCGCTGGAGGTGTCCGGCGAAGTTTCGCAACGTTGCCGCCCGTTGCAACCTGTAGCCGTCTCGTGCACTAAGTGTTTCCAGCGAGGTTTCGCCGCATTGCCACCCCTTGCCACCCGTTGCCACCTCATGCGCTGGGTGGGTCCCGCGAAGTTTCGCCACGTTGCAGGCTCGTTGCCGCCTCGTTCCCGTCTCGTGCGCTGGGTGGATCTGGCGAGGTTTCGCCACCTTGCAGCCCATTGCCGTCTCGTTGACGGCCGTGCGCTGGGTGTGTCCGGCGAGGTTTCGCCACATTGCAGTCATGTTGCCGCCTCGTGCGTTAGGTGGATCTTGCGAGGCTTCGCCACATTGCCGCTTCGCTGCTTTTTTTGCGGACGCACGCAGCAGGCCACCCCGCCGCCCGCGGCCGGCCGGCACCCGAGGCCAGCTACGGCCCGGGCCCGCGCCCGTACACCAGCCGCAAAGCCTCGTACTGGGACGGGGCCCGGGCTGGAGCGGGCCCAGCCGCGGCCTCCTCCGCCGCCGCCCCCAAGCCAGCCGCCGCCCCGCCAGCAGCGCCGCCCGGGCCGCCCGCACCGCTCAGCGCCGCGTTGTCTGCACCGCCGCCTGCGGTGCTGGCCGCATCAGCCGGCGCCACCGCGCCCGCGGACCCCGGGAAGGCACCCGCGCCCCCCAGCGCCTCGAACGCGGCCACGAGCTCAACGACGCCTGCCGCGCCTGGTGGAAGGCCAGTGCCGCCCCGGCCAGCGTCGCCCGCGGCCACGTCCGTGCCGGAGCCTGCTGCCGCGCCAGCTGCGCCGCTGGCTTCTCCCGCGGGGGCAAGCCCAGCCAGCCCGTCTGGCCCCGCCGCAGCGCCACGCGGCGCCGCGGGTCCCGCCGCGAGCTCGGCGTGGCCCACCGCTGCGCCCGCCCCGCTCGCCGCCGCGCCAGCCTGCGGTTCCAGCCCAGCACCAGGCGCTGCGTCGTCGTCCACCGCCGCGTCGTCGTCCGCCGCTGCCGCGCCCGTGCCTCAGGGATCAGGTCAGCCGCATCCCCCGCATGGACCACGGGCACGCAGGCAGAAACCATGGCCGCCGCCCGGCGCCAGAGCTGGATGCCGACCAACACCTTGGCCCTGCGAGCGAGCACCGCCGGCGTGGCCACACCCCTCCAGCGCGACGCCGCTGCCGCCATGGAGTCCACTGCTGCGGTTGCGTCGCAGTGGGGCCGGCCCCAGCAACTCCAGATCAGCGGGCGGTACTCGATGCCCTCGTCGGCCAGCTCCGGGATCGCCTCGGCGTACCTGTCCAGCTTCGCCTGCACCATGGCAGCGCAAGCATCCGCCCCACTGCCCGCCGAGTCAGGGCATGCCACGCCGACATCCAAGGCCGCCAGGCGGGCGAAAGCCGCCGAAGTAAACACGTCGGCAGGGCGGAGAGTCGGATGTGACGGGACGAGGCCCGGGACCTCGACGGCAGCAGTGCAATCGGACAGGCTGGCAAGTCCGAGGAGGGTGTCGCGGACCCGGTTGTGTCCGCGTGTGCTCGCGCCCGGCGCACACCGCAGCGCGTGGCGGCATTCGCGGTCGAGCTCGCCCCCGCAGCAGGCGCAGGTGGCTGGCGCCTCCAAGACGGGTGCCCCCAGCCGCAGGCGGACGGCCGGGACGAACTCGTCCGCCCTGACGTGGTCGCCGGTGGCTGAGCTGAGGACCCACATCCAGGAGTGGTCTGCGTCGGGGTCTCGAAGGTCGTCGAGCAAGTGGAGCCCAGACCAATCCTCCTGGCGCCGGAGATCGGCATAAATGCCGTCGAGGCGGACCCCCGCCACCAGGTCACAGAGGCGGGCTTGCAGGCCGCCTCGGGCGGGTGCTCAGGATCCTCAAGCCCACTGGGGGCGACGATCCCCGCCTGGGCGGTCGCGGCCCGATCCGGCGCCGGCCGCCTGGGCTGCAGGCGCCCGACCAGCTCTCCCGCGACGCGGCCCGCCTCGGCCGCGCCGTCCGCCAAGACCTGCGCGGCAAACCCCCGCCGGTCGGCCGGGAGCAGAGCCAGCCACGACTGCTCCGCGGCGGCAGTGGAGGCGTCCCATTCCGCGAACAGGATCTCGCGCCACTGCGCTGGCATCCCGCTGCAGAGCTCCTCGGCTAGCGGCCGCGCCTCGGTGCGGCTGGCCAGGAACGCGGGGAGGCTGCTGTCGGCCGCGCTGCGGAGGCCGAGGCCCCCATCGCCTGCGCCGCCGGACGCCCGCTCCAGGCAGGCCGCGGGGAGCTGCGCCACGTTGCAGCCTCGTTGCCGCTTTGAAGCCGCCCTGTGCGTTGGGTGGGCCCGGCGAGAATTCGCAACATTGTCGCCTCGTTGCCACCACGTTGCAGCCTCGTTGCCACCTCGTGCGCTGGGTGGGTCTGGCGAAGTTTCGTCACGATGCAGGCTCGTTGCCGCGTCGCTGCCGCCTGGCGCACTTGGTAAGTCCAGCGAGATTTCGCTGCGTGACCGCCTTATTGCCGCCACGTTGCCACCTCGCTGCCACCTTGTGCGCTGGGTGGGGTCGGCGAGGCTTCGCCACGTTGCAGCCTCGTTGCCGCCTCGTGCGCTGGGTGGGTCCGGCGAAGTTTCGCCATGTTGAGGAGTTCTTGATCACATCAGAGAAATTGGATAGGTCCCGCGAGGTCTCGCAATGGGCGCAGCTTCGATACCCCCACCAGGCCCCGCACAACAAAGATGGATGCGAACGATTGGCTGGCAGGGGCCGCGATCGGCCCCTATTACATATTCTCACATATCCAAATGCTTCATGCGCCGATCGAAAAGGGGTCCTTCAAGGATTTCGACGACGAGGGAGGATGGCCTCGCGAGAGACCGGGACAGAGCTCCAGACCATCTCGCGCAAGTCGTAACCGACAGTTATGTACAGACATACCCTTGCTGTCAGATCAAAAGTGTAAAGTGTCAACCAATCTAGAGCCTGTCGTGGGGCACCAGTCGAGACGTGCGCGGGCAAGGCGCGGGACGGGATGAGCAAGGTGTGGGGGGGCTCGAAAAAAGGCCGGCTTGGGAAACTGCACCCCCTCGTCACGGCAACCACCGCCTTCGTGGGTCCTTGAGCCGAGAAGCTACCATGGCCTGGTGGCGGCGGCGACGTCCAGCCTCCCAAAGCTTCGGAATGTCACTTCCCTCCTTCCTGCGGCGCCTGCTGCCCTGCCAGCGAGACGGAGACGACGCAGGCGCGGAACCAACGTCCATCGCCTGGCCTCGGTGGGCCCCCGACCCCCTCGTGACCCCGGTGCGGCGCACTTGCGCTCCCCACGGCGATCACGCAACCTCTCGCCTTCACCGCACCGGCTGTGACGCCCCAGCCCTTCCGAGAGCCAGGCCATCGGGAGGACTTGGATGGGGGGGTCATAAGATGCCAAGCTCGCCTCGCTTGCACTTTTCTGGTTTGACCTGCCCCGTCAATCAGGTCCACCCCCCTCTTCCTTGTGAATAGCTCGACCTCGTCGCACCACCAAACTTGTCGGTAAGGCGGTGTGGGCTTTTCGCCTCTGATTTCATAACCACTTATGATTTGAAGAAGAGGATCCCCGCCAACAATGACACGGATTGAGGGCGATTCGTTTTCAAAATTGGGACCTTATCTGAGCGCCGCGCGCATTCGCTTCGCAAGTGTCCGAGGGCTGTAGATGTCTTCAACTGTTGCACGGTTGGAAAGAGACTCACTTTCAAAATAGGGCGATCGCCAAAGCGCCGCGCAAACTTGTTTGAAACGTTCATGCAGTTACGCGGATGGGGTTCGTTTTCAAACAGTAGGCTTGCGATGGCACTGCGTTTTCTGTGTTCAACCTTGTGCTCGCGCTGGAGAGCACAACTGTGCACCAGCGAAGCGAATGGTGGGCGACTCCGTTTCAAAGTGGGGCTCTCGTGGGCAAGTTCGTTCAGCTGTATGCGACTACCTCCTTGCACGTCCTCTGGCTAGGTTTGCATGGGGGACTGTTCTTGCCTAGAGATCAGACCCACGGGGCCCTAACCTATCAAAGGGACGCTTCTCGCAACGAGAAGGAATTATTGCAGGGACGTATGATAAGGTGCCGCGGGCTGGGAAGGTTGCAACATTATTGGTGCCTCCTGGTTTGAGTCTGGCTTTCTTCCTCAATCACCTCCTCCTGCGTCTCCTCATTCGCCTCTGCCTCCGCCTCGCCCTCGTCCTCATCCTTCTCATGAATGTTCTCTTCCTGCTGCACCACCGTCTTCTCCTCCGCCACTCCTCCCCAGTGCCTCCGTGGAGAGTGCCCCCCAGGCTTACATGGGGCCAGAACGGAGACCAGGAGGACTGCGCATGTGGCCGCGGGCACTGGACACCTCGCCTTCTCCCTCCCACTGCTGCTTCTCCTGCTGCTGCTCCTCGTCCTGTTCCTCTGCAGTCACTAGGAGGGGATGACAGGGTAAGTACGTAAGCCCTGTTTTCCCCCACAGCAAAGCAACGGGCCACATCGATCTCATGACCTGTAAAGCACGACAATGAAGCTGCGCTGCAGCGCGAGACAGAGGATAACATGACGGCTGCCGAGCTGCAATACATATAGTTAGCCCCATGAACACTATGTGGCAACAAGCCGTGAAACAACTGGGACGCGAGCCAGACAAACGAGACGGGCCTCGTGAGCCAAGGCCCGAGGCCAGCACAACAAACGACACACAAGGAGGAGGAGGAGGAGGAGGAGGAGGGGGAGGAGGAGGAAACGCAGGCGCCGCCAGATGCACAAGGCTGCCTTGCAGACGCGCAATGTGCATGTACCCATGCTGACGCCACGGTCAGTGGTACCTCACACAGATCTTGAGCAACGAACAGCGGAGAGAGGAGAACAAGAGAGAGAGAGAGGGAGGGAGAGAAACAAGAGAGAGAGAGAGAGAGGACGCTAATGGCAGACGAGGAAAGCCACAGCGCAGCAGATTAGCTAAGACAAATAAGGTCAACGTCTGATGTTACTGCGCGGAAGCATCGAGCCACGCATGAACCCACCTTGGGGGCAAGCAGGCAAACCCACCGCCATGGCGGGGGTTGGCCGCCGCCGGCTGAAATGGAGCCCGTATGCAAACGATAGACCGCAGACCATCAATACAGCATAGCATCGAGAGAAAAGAGGCGAGGAGGGGAGGGGAGAGAGAGTAGGCACTGGAACAAGGCGCAGGCGGGGATCACACCGATTTGTCGTAGCTCAAAGACTAGATCTCCGATTCGCTGCCCACGTGCTGCCCGCTATACTGACGCCCCACTCCTGGATGGTCCCGTGCTGCTAGCACCTGGCACCATGGAAAGATACCCCGCTGCCCGTCAAGCGTGCTGATCATCGTCGTGGTGTCACCATCGTGTTTCCATTGCCCGTGGTTCTGCTCCTCGACGTATTGCAGCAACCCGTCTTGTTACTCAGAGCAGTGCTAAAAGGCATCCCTCGTGCAATGCCATCCGCCCCATTTTACCATCGTAGCGCACGCCGTTCGGTGTCGGAGAAGGAGTCGGGGCTGGGGTCGGAATTGGAGCACAAGTCGGAGCTCGCATATAATCATTTCAATGATACCGGAGAAAAGCCCAATCCGATTTTTGTTGGGGCTCTGGGGATATAGGACTATAGGGCTATAGGGCTATGGGGCTATAGGGCTATATGGGCTATATGGCTATAAGGGTATAGTGATATAGGGCTATTGGGCTATAGGGCTATAAGGGCTATAAGGCTATAGGGCTATAGGGCTATAAGGCTATAGGGCTTTAGGGCTATATATAGAGCTGTAGAACTATGGGGCTATAAGGCTATAGACCTATAGGGTTCTAGGGCTCTAGGGCTATAGGGCCATGGAATTATAGGGCTATAGGGCTATAGGGCTATTGGGCCATAGGGCTATTGGGCTTCAAGGCTATAAGTGGGCTATTGGGATTGGGCTATTGGGCTGTAGAAGTATAGGCTATAAGGCTATATGGCTATAAAATACCCTGGCACTCCCGGGCGCCTCCAGACATCCTCGAGCACCCGGGCACCCGGGCACCCGCGGGCACCCGGGCACCCCGGCACCCGGCCACCGGCCACCGAAATCCTGGGGCACCGGGCACCCACGGGCACCCGGGCACCCGGGCACCCGGCCACCGACCACCAAATCGGTGCCCCACCTCACTCAACCATATGAATCCGCGAGGACCCCTACAGAGGCAAGCTCTGCTTGGGGAGTAAGAAGCAGCAAAAGAACAAAGAAAAATCAGAGCAGGAGTTGGGACCAGGGCTGGAAACGAGGCCAGGGTCTGGGCCAAAACTGTGACCAAGATGGAACTGGAGTCGGGCGGAGCCGGCATTGGAGCTGGCGTGTCGTCGTAGCGTTCGCCGTTCTCATGTAGTTCCAGTGGCCCCTGTCGTCGCGCTGCTGCTCGGAAGTCGCCATTGGCGAGTGGTCGGCGATCCTATCGAAGATGCGCTGGTGCCCTGACCGCCGCACTTGCTCGCACAGGTGGTCTGCGACGTGTTTCTGGTCTCGACCGTGCCTTTTCTTCCGCCCGGCAACGATGACACTATGATTCCAGAGCGCTGTAGATCACCACAGCGAGGCTGCGCCACCGCGTGTAACGGAGGAGCGTCTGGCAAGCAAGCGAGGAAAACGCCAGAGTGAAAAGGATCGGGTCGGGCGAAAGGGGGGATAGCAAAGGGGAGGTTTGATAATCAGCTCACGTAGCTGATTTCCCCGGCGCCTCGCGGCGCTGGAGGCGCCCATGTATCAGGGAATGGGCCCCTCGGTGAAGCCGAAACCAGCTGCATGCAGCAAATTTCGTAACCCCCCCTTTCCCAATCCCCCCCTTTCGCCCAGCCCGAAAGGAGAAGGAGAAGAAGGAACAGCAAGGAACAAGCAAAGGTAGCGCACAGCTCGCGCATGCGTCAGCGACCCCAGACTTCGCCGGAGACACCTACAAAATTGTCCCACTCGGGCGTGTGAAGAGGGGGAGCCCGCGCGCGCGTACACCTACAAGGCATTGCCAGCGGCACTCACACATTGGTTCCTCACGGGCAAGACAAAAAACAAAGGAGGGGAAAAGAGGGGGAAGGAGCCAACAGAGCGAAAGAGGAAGAGACGGCAGAGGACAAGGGAAGAAAAGGACGACAGAACACAACAGGCAGCGAAAACACGAAAGCAGGCCGATGAGACGAAGTCACAGGTAGAAGTAGAAGTGGAGGAGCCGGTAGCGGAAGTCCTTCTTGTGATAGCCGTTCCCGAAGAGGATGGAAGCCGATGGATGGTTGGAGACGGGTACAAGTGTACCGGTACTTCCAATGGCCCTCCTGCACAACGTCCCGCTCCAGGGTCGTGCGCCGAATTTGGCCGTGGACGGGGAGGGAGTCGGCGAGCTGGTGCGTGCGGAAGTCGGCGAGCTGGACGGCCCGGGAGTCGGCGATCTGGTCGGCACGGGGGTCGGCGAGCTGGACCGCGCCGGAGTCGGTGAGCTGGGCAGTGCGGGAGTCGGCGACCTGGTCGGCATGAGAGTCGGTGATGTGGTCGACGCTGGAGTCGGCGAATTGGTCGGTGCGGGATTCGGTGAGCGGAGCGATGCTGGAATCGGTGACCTGGTCGGCAAAGGAGCCAGCGAGCTGGTCGGCGCGGCAGCCGCCCCTGGATAGCGACTTCGAGAGCTGGTCTGTGCGGGAGTCGGCGATCTGGTCGGCGCGGGAGTCGGCGAACTGGCTGGTACTGGAGTCGGTGAGCGGGACGGCGAGGGAGGCGGTTGCATTTGAAACCACCTTTTTTCCTCACCTCGTCCTCCCCTCGGGAGCCAGAGTCTGGTGTCAATTTGTTGGTTTGAGGCGTCTTGGTGTCAGATTGTTGGTTCCGGGGCCGAGGCGTCTTGGTGTCGATGAGTTGGTCGGCGCGGGAGCCGGGAGGCTGGTCGATGAAGGAGCAGGCCGCGAACCGGTCGGTGCGGGAGTCGGCAAGCTGGTCGGCGAGGGAGTCGGCGAGCTGGCCGGCGCGGGAGTCAGTGACCTGGTCGGCGAGGGAGCCGCCAAGCTGGTCGGTGCGGCAGGTCCCGATCTGGTCGGTGCCGGAGTCAACGAGCTGGTCGCCGCGGGAGTCGGTGAGCTGATCGGCGTGGGAGCCGCCCAGTTGTTCAGCGCGGCAGCCGGTGAGCTGGTCGATGCGGGAGTCGGCGAGCCACTCGGCGCCGGAGTCATCGAGCTGTTCGACCTGGTCGGTGCGGGAGTCGGTGAGCTGGCCGGCGCGGGACTCGGCGAGCTGATCGGCGCTGGAGTCGGTGACCTGGTCGGTGAGGGAGTCGGTGAGCTGGCCGGCGCAGGAGTCGGTGACATGGCCGGCGAGGGAGTCGGCGAGCTGGTCGGTGCACGAGCCGGTGACCTGGTCGGTGCGGGAGTCGGTGATCTGGTCGGTGCGGGAGTCGGTGAGCTGGTCGGTGCGGGAGTCGGTGATATGGTCGACGAGGGAGTCGGTGATCTGGTCGGTGCGGGAGTCGGTGACCTGGTCGGTGCGGGAGTCGGTGATATGGTCGGCGAGGGAGTCGGCGAGCTGGTCGGTGCGGGAGTCGGTGACCTGGTCGGTGCGGGAGTCGGTGATATGGTCGGCGAGGGAGTCGGCGAGCTGGTCGGTGCGGGAGTCGGTGACCTGGTCGGTGCGGGAGTCGGTGATATGGTCGGCGAGGGAGACGGCGAGCTGGTCGGAGCAAGGGTCGGTGACCTGGTCGGTGCGGGAGCATCGAGTGCCGGTGCTGGTGTCGATGTTGGTGTCGATACGGATGTCGACGCCCGTTGTGGCGCTAACGTCGGATGAGGTGTCGACGCTGGTGAGAGTGCTGGTGTCAATGATGGTGTCGATGCTGATGTCGGTGATGGTGGCGATGTTGGCGTCGACGCTATTGCATTGAGCTCCTGGTTCGTGGCACCGACATGCTGAGAAAGGGCACCAAATCCGGCAAATGGCCCTGGGCACGGGTGGAGGGCGGACAATCTGGTCTCGACCGTACCTAGTCCATCACCTGTCCCAGCGGCGTGGCCGATAGATAGACATGACAACTCTCCTGCACAAGAATGTCGTGGCAATCTAAAAGGTCGGAGCCAGAGCTGACGAGGGAGGTCGACGCTGGCGTCTGGGGACGTGGCAGGGATGGTAGAGCTAGGGAATCGGAGCTGGTGGCGGAAGTGGCGCTGGAGTCGGCGCTGGGGTCGGAGCCAATGTTGTCGTCAGAGGAAGGGGTCGGAGCTGGCGTCGGAGCTGGCTTCGGAGGCGTGATAGCGGCGGAGGGCTCAGGCTGGGGGTCGCCGCGGAGTCGGAGCTGGGGTCGAAACTGAAGTTGGCGTCGGAGGCGGGGTCGGAGCTGGCGCCGGAGCCATGGTAGCGGCAGGGGAGACAAAGCTGGGAAGTCGAAGCTGGTGTTGAAACCTGCGCTGGAGTTGGAATTGGAGTCAAAGCTGGCGTCGGAAGAGAGACGGAGCTGGCATCGGAGACCGTGGCAGGGGTTCTGGAGATAGAGAGCCGAAGCTGACAGTGGAGGTGGCGCTGGAGTCGGTGCCGGGGTAGGAGGCGACGTTGTCGGAGGACCAAAGGTCGGAGCAAGCGTCGGAACCGTAATATCCGCAAGGAAATCGGAGCTGGGGAATCCCAGGGCAGTCGGAGCTAGGGAGTCGCAGCTGGTGTTGGATATTTCGCCGGCGTCGGTGCTGGGGTCGGCGCTCGGGTCGGAGCCAGAGCTAGCGTAGGAAGCGTGTCGCACGTCATCTCTGGTAGCCTCGTGAAGGAATTGGTCCATGACCGCCTTTGCGAAAGCGGCCCTCTCTTCCATTGTTCCGGACTCCCGTCGTCGTAAGTTTTTGATTGTAGGGTATCAAACATAATCCCACCAGCCCTATGGGCGACAGGTGGTCTAACGAGATTCCTCTCACGTGTTCCATAACCCCTTCTTCCCCTTCGGGGAAGGGTTCACCCCTCCCCCTTACCCCCTCCCCTGGACCTGGACGGGGGGTTCCGCGAGGGCTTGGAGGCTCCTTTTTCGGCCATTGGGAAAGCCATTTTCTGCCACCCCTTACGAGGATCGTGGCCCCCGAGGGGGGGACGGAGATAAAAGAACCCCCCCTGTTGATCGATGGCCTCCAAGATGACCCCAAAAGGGCCTCCAGGGTACTCAAGAGAGCCCCAAGAGGGCTCCAAGAGAGCTCCACGAGGGCCCCAAAAGGGCCCCAAGATGGCCCCCAAAGCGCCCAAGAGCGCTCCAAAAGAGCCCCAAGAATCGGTTTGCGGGCCCCTGATGGGGGGGGCTGAGTCGGGGACCTCCCCATCCTTTGATCGATGGCCTCCAAGATGGTCCCAAGAAGCCTTCCAGGTTTACCAAGAAAGTTCCAAAAGGGCACCCCAAGCTCCCAGAGAGCACAAGCAGCAGCAGCAGGGGCAAATAATCCCACCAGCCCTTTGGGCGACAGGTGGTCTAACAAGGGTCTCTTTCCTCTTCCACAACCCCCCTTCCCTTCGCGAAGGGGAACCCTCTCCCCCCCTCCATACGTTTTCTTTGGAGGGATCGCGAGGTGTCAGAAGGTTCCTTTTTCGGCCATAAGGAGGGTCATATTCTGCCACCCTTCGCGAGGATCGTGGCCCCCGAGGGGGGCGCAGATCGACTACCCCCATTTCTTTTGACCGACCGCCTCCAAGATGGCCCCAAGAGGCCTTCCAGGGCTCCCAGTAGGCCCCCAAGAGGGCCCCAAAACGCTCCAAGAAGCCCCAAGAGGCCTCCAACAAAAACGCCCGAGATGCCCCAGGGAGACCCCCGAGCGGCCTCCGAGGGGCCTCACCAAAATGTCCTTCAATATGGCCCACGATAGCCCAAGCTAGCTCCAGATAGCTCCCGAGATGCTCCAAGAGGCCGCAAAACAGCTCCAAGACGGCCCAAGATGGCCACGGAGTTTAAAGCTGGTCGGGAGGCCCAGCCAAATTCTTCGCCCAAGGCGAAGCATACGCCCAACCCTGTTGTATCGTATTGACGATAATGCCAGAAGTAGAAAGGTGCCGCGCGAGCGGCGATGAAACATCTATTGTCTGTATCGATGTAAATGTAGCGGGCCGCGATGCGGCCTGGTCAGATAGGCGGCCAGTCACTGGGCCAAACTGGCCGCGGACAAACGCTCGATACATCTCGCCTTTGCCCTTCCTCCTTCAGAGTCGGGGGGTTTGGTGAGACGAAGCGTGACTCCGCCACCGGCCTTACTCAGCAAAACAAATCTATGTCACAAGAAATGCGGCAGGTGGCGGGCTCAACCTAAGCAGGCTACCCCGCAGCATACTTATCCTCAGGCGGCTCAGACGGTCTCATGTGGGCCGCCCTGTAAGGAGTGGATCGTTTCAAGTCGTGCTTGAAGGATTGTACTCCCTCCGTGACTTGCAAAAGCATGTCTTTGTCGATGCTCCCCTTAGCGTGGCCATCAGCAGTCATATCGCGAGAGTCACACCACTGCACGGAATGCGCGATACCGCCCTCCATCACTTACCGTATCCAACTGATGTGACCCAAAAGAGCACAGTCAGTCGGCTTCTTCAGATCTTTCCTTGACAAGGACTTGAAGACGGAATCGTCATCAATGGTCAAAGTGGCCTTAATGCCCAGGCCGCCCATCTCCCGTATATCCTTCAGTTGAGTGGGTGTTGGCGACCCTGCGTAGAGTTCGTGTAGCGTGACAGTTGGGGGACAGCAGTCCTCCGAGTTGTGGGCTGCTGCCGGTGTTTCAGCTGAGTAGCTCGAGAGGGCGTGCAAGCGGTGAGACTTGCAGCGCGCGTCAACAAAATGGACGACGGGCTTACCAGCGCGCGTGTGTCCACGCCGAAGCAGGTTTGCCCCGCGAATACCATAGCCTTTGACTTTGTCATCGGCATCGCCGTTCAGGCGACGGTCGCCGGAGTCGCTATGCAGATCGACTTTGCCCGTTGGCGTCATCGCCTGATAGGCGATCTTCATAGGGCAGGCCTGCAGCTTCCTGGTAATCGCGCTAAGCCGTCGCACTCGCATGCTGGTCGGTTCTTGGACGCGCTGTAGTGATACAACATATACCAGTAACCACACTTGTGTGCTGAGGGCGCAAGCGAGAGCGCCTCTGAGGCTGACAGACATATCAGTGACCACCTTCGATGCCTGAGCCTCAGCATCTGCGCCCGTGGGTTCGCGATGATGGATAGAACGGGGCAGTTTGATATATTCGTTTTGGTCGAGAGTAACACTGCCGTCGCTGTCCTTAGCATATATCACAGCAGTGTTGGCATGTGTGTTTGTTGAGTTCACATTTACAGAAGTATCCTCAGTGCACTTGGCGCAATTGCCGATGGTGGCCTCAGTGCCCGTCATGTTGATATCATCTACATGTCTGGCAGTGACAAGGTTGGGGCTCGTCTCGATCTCTTCGTCGTAGGACGTGGGTCTAACTCAACATCCTCTCGTGGTCTTCCTGCGCTTCAGCGGGAAGGCTATTGGTGCATCTGCGGTGCCAGTGCCTGGTTAATTGCGCTGCAGACAGCGTCTTGACTCATCATGGTGCTCGAATCCAGGGAGATATCTGAGCACTGATGCTGAGCCTGGCGGCAACGCAAAGCACGCCGCGCGTCCCTTTTCACTGGTCGCATCAGCGAGCTCATGATACACACGTCCCTTCACGAAGGCCATGTTGATGCCAACGGAAACAAAGATCCACTGCTTCCTGCGCGCTGTCGCGCCGGCAATCGCCGGTTTGGCCGTCGCGCCGTTCCCGAGAACGCTTCTACACCGAAAGCTTCGAGGTTCATGAAGCCCCGAAGTAGCGGGCGTGATCTGATGGTGCGTTCCATCTCGCCCTTTACGTTCTTAGCGGATTTCAATGTATATGCGCATCTCGAAATCGTGATGTTTGACGTCTTGGATATGTCTTGTAATATGAAGCGCTCATTGCCAAACCATGTCTTGAGTTCAGTATATTGAGCTTTCGACACCTTGACTGGATTCACCTGAATGTCTGCCTCCGTGAGAAGGTCGCCCCCAATGGCGACTGCAGCTGTTTTGGCTGCAGCGGTCACGTATGCTTGCACCGTAGTTACATGGTCGATGTCCCATATGTTACGCTGCTGTTCGGATAGGACGATCTCCGACATTTCTGCCGCAAAGCAGAGTTCTACATATTGCCCGTGCTCGTCGGAGTCCAATCCGCAACTGCCATCCTCGCCCATGGAACACAATGGGACATGATATGTCTCAGTTGTGTAAACATCCTGTGGGTTCCACCGCGTAAGCAAATGCCTTTGCTGTTCTTCAGCTACTGTGGCCAGCGCCCTGAGATCAGAAATCATCTGTGTGGGTGCAGTGTAGAGTTCTTCTACTGGAGCTGCCTCTAGCAACTCTCTTTCGTCCTGTAGTTCCGTAGACCACACTTCCATGATGCGTGCCTCGAGGTCCGCCTCCGATTCCTCATAGATTGTGGGAAGCCGTCCGGCTTCCTGTGGTGGTTCGGCTTCTGGGCCCCCCCTGGCGTCGCTGCCTTGCGTTGGCATGTCTGCCAGCTCATCGAACTTCGCCATGTCTTGATCGAAGCCCGCTTGAGGTTTGGTGTACTTCAGGCACTGAATGATTCTAGCGTGTG